GGGTATTATGGGCCTACCGAACAAATGTTAAATCAGGCACACGAGAAACTCATTTTTCTCTTGTGTACGGTGTAGAAGCTTTGATACCGGTGGAAGTGGGGGAGCCCACTTTAAGATATTCCCGGGTAAATGAAGAATCAAACAACGATGTAATGTTAATCAACTTAGAACTGCTCGAGGGACGCAGGGACCTGGCACATGTCAGAATGGTAGCTCAAAAGCAGAGGATGGAGCGATATTACAATCAAAGAACCAACCTTTCTTACTCCAAAGTAGGGGACTTGGTCTTGAGGAAGGTGACTCAAAACACCCGAGAACTCAACGGCAAGTTAGTTTCCACGTAGGAAGGCCCTTTCCGGGTTTCAGCTATCACCGGTAAAGGATCATATGAGTTGTAAAATCACAACGGAGACAAGTTGCCCAGCAACTGGAACGTGGCTCATCTCAAAAACTATTACTACTAACAAACAACAGTCAGACGGAAAGTATGTGCTGCACTCTTTTGTCCTTCGTTCTGCTTTTTTATCCTGATTGGGTTTTTCCAGGAAAGGTTTATTAACAAGGCGAAAACCATAAAAAACAATAATGAGACCTATTGATTTTAAATTTTCATTCGGGAGCGATAAGGTAATCTTTGCTTCGTTAGCAAATTCCCACCGGGAAGTTAAGTTTGCTGACAAAGCAAAGGTTACACGACCGTTCATGAACATTAACCACTAGAGGATTGTCAGGTATCCTTTCACTCAACAACATGAATTCCTAAGGGTAAAGCGAAATATGCTACCGAGCGAAGGGTTACGCAACAATTCATCGGTGGAACCTTCGAAGATACAAGACTTCGAGTGTTCAAAAATGCATTCTTCGCATTAGAACACTTGGGGGAGAATACTGATATGATTGCAAGGCAACACTGAATGCGACGTCAACCGGGAACAAAAATTCGGGAACAAAATACATACTCGGCAACACTAAATGCCACATCAACCGGGAACGAAAATCCAGCAACAAAATACATACTCGGCAACACTGAATGCCATGTTAACCAAGAACGAAAATCCGACAAGGCAACTCTGAATTCCACACGCCATCGGGGTCGGGGACTGCACAGACAACCCTGTAGAAACAAGTGTACAAAAATAGTCACAAGTCTTGGAAATTTCTTTTCTACGTAGCAAAATGCCTACGTAAACTGTGAAAACAAAAGGAACAAAATGAAATCCATCTTCTTTTATCTTGTTTCTTGTTTGTACGATGAGTTAATTTTATCATTTGAAATTTAAACAAGTACTTCAAATGTTAGTGCCGTAATGAACAGGAGACATTCTCTTCAAGAGCACCGTAAACATAAGAGGGTCCCCTCTTATTAAAATCCTCCTGTTAAAGGGTTTGTTCCAGAAGAATATATGCCCGGAACCAAAAATGCTATTGGGGAAAATACACCCGAAGCCATATATAAAAAATATATATAAACCAAAGTTGCGCAAACACTCATTGAAACCCCCACGAAAAAGGGGTTTCCTCGGAAACAAAGTGCATCAAAGGAAATGCATCCGAGACCACATACAGAAAACTATGCACAGATATTCAAGCAAAAGCAAGACTCAATCAAACATTTGAGCAAAAATATGTCCTCATTTACAAGAATATGCCAAAAGAAATACAAAACAAGGAAAGAAAAAAACTAAACTACAACGTCGCTAGAATCGGAAGGAAGAGAAGAATCTGCATCCCCGGGAACAGTAGTTGGTTCAACCGATGGCTCAACATCTTCCCCAGCTTGGTTCTTGGCATCATCGCGTTCCGATTCTTCTCCAGTATCTGAAATTTTGGAAACAGAATCAGAAGAACAAGGAGCGCCAGACCGCGCTGGGAGCCCATTTTCTGCATCAAACTCAAGCTCACATGCCTTGGCCATTTCTGCATAAATATCAATAGCGTCTTCTTTGGCGTCTTCCAAGGTTTTTCTCCTCATGTTGTACATGGCGTAAGTTTTCTCAATAATGAGGGAAGTTTCTCCGCGCTTGAGTTCTTCTTTGGGCTCGGTGATCTCGGTGGAAAGACTATCCCGGGAGGATATAGCGGCCTGAAGGCTAACATCAAGATCTCGGATAGTTGAACTATAGAGCTTGTTATGCTCAATAGTTTTCTTATTCTTCTCCTCCAACCGGGCATATCTTGCCTCCGCAGCAGTAAGCTCTTAAACCTTACAATGCAAGGCTACTTCTAAGTTAGTTATCCTTTCAGTAGCAGCAGCCTCATGGCCATTGGGAGCAAGAATGGAATCGTGAACCTCAGCCCATTTGGCTTTCACTTCGTCAAAGCTAGTCTTCAGCGGCGCAATTTCATGGCTAAGGATATCTACTTCCTACTCACTTTGATACAAGCGGGCTTCCAAAATATCCGCCTCAGTGGCCCTGATTTCCAATTCCGAGAGACGAAGAACATTCTGGTCCCGTTCCGCCAGAAGTCGATCCCGTTCAGAAGAAAGTTCCTCTTTCTCACGGATTAGCCTTTGAAGGCCTTCGGAAGCAAGAAAATTGTCCTGCAGGATAAGAAGAGGTAAAACTTAAAATGCACTCATTCAAAAGCTGAAAAATAACAGAAAAAGGAAGAAATATACCGCAGCGGCATTATGCATGGCATTATTCAACAAACACTCTCCCGAGAGTGTTTGTATTTTTTCCCAATCCTTCCCTGAAGCCATGGGCTTCAGGTAATTTGCAAGCTTCACCAGCCGGGAAAGAAGGTTGCACTTAGTATAGACTGAAAGGGTAACATTCCTCCTCCTATGAGTATCTTCAGAAGGGGTAGCATAATTTTGCCCCAAAATCCCGTGAAAAGGGGACTGTGGAAGAGGAACTCCCTTGTCATGGTCAGGCGCGGCCGTTGGAGATGACGCTATTGGTGGAAGCATGGATGAAGACAGAAAATATGTAGTAGCTGCCGGTGGTGAAGAAGGTGGTGATGAAGCAGGTAAAGGAGAATAACGAGAAACAGATGCATCGAAGGCAACATTGATTGTCGGGTGCTCAACAACCGAGGACGGCAAAGTCCCGATACTCTACCTCACGGTACTAGGTACAACAATTGGGGCTCGAGAACGGGAATTAGCATTTTCCACCAAATCAAACTGTTACAACCCAAAATCCAACTAGCCGTGATGGCACCTAACCCAACCCGCTAGGTAAGCCAATTATCAACCATCAAATTCCAATAACAATAATTAAAGCAATTTAAGTAAATAAAAATCTTAATTTTATACATTCCCCAAGAACTGGTAGTACGAATCATGAGCTTCTAAGAATAGAGTATACAAAGCTGGTATGAAGTAATACATCTGTTTGAAAAGTATATAAACAAAGTTTTATGAATCTAAGGCTACCATGAACAAGAGGCAGCTACAACCGGAATGCAGGTACATCTTCAGATCCAACTCCCAACGAACACAGCAACAATAACAGCTAACATCTGCACGCAAGGTGCAAAAGTTTAGTATGATTACAACCGACCCCATGTACTCAATAAGTAACAAACCTAACCTTAGGTTGAAAGTAGTGACGAGCTTGTACCAAGTTCGGATCCCAACTTCAATAACCAACAATAGTTCATAACAACATAAAACAAGTAATACCAGAAGTAACTCAACAATCAAATGCTCAACAAAAACGTGATTTCTGAAAATAGTTCTGCCTTTCAAGTACATCAATGAAAACCCAAATTTTACCTGAGTTTCCAAAAATATGGATAAGTTTGAAAATAATAATTTTCCCAAAACCTTTCAATCATAAATAAGATGTTTTAATTTCTTTCCAGATAACCAGTGTAAAACAAATGTATTACTATGCCCATCTGCCAACATGTGTGAGAAATCATGAATGATCTGATACCGTACAGTATGAGGAAAATACATCTTTATGCATGTATGTCATGTCTGCATGTCAATACAATGTATCTCAGAGATGAACTCATGTACTCACACTCTCAGAGTACTCAATCTCAATTTCTCACGCATTCCACTCATCAAGCCCAATCACTCGGTACTGTATATGACCAATCCGGTCCAGGGAAGAATTATCCCGGAATATACACATCAACTGATCATCAGTCACTCAGTACCGAGCAGGGCCAATCCAGCCCGTGGAGAAGATACATCTCCATGTATATAATGCTTCGAACAAGATCCATGTCCAAGGAAGACATATCCCTAAATAATATCAACCGCGCTCACTAGGGGTGTGCAGACTCCGGAGGGGCTCCTACAGCCCAAGCGCTATAATCCGCATGGACAACTAACGTGCCATAGTATCAATATCAGAATCAATCAGGCCATCGACCTCACTCAGTCATCAATCTCTCCAGTCTCTCTCTCACGGGCTCACAATGTCAAGAAACTAGCCCAGAAATGAT